GGGAAGGGAGGCCCTGCCTGGGGGCACGGAGTGGGCACAAGTAGAGGGAGAGCATTTCATGGACGTGGGAGATCCTACATGCACCCCTCCCAAGACCCTGGCCTGACACCTGCTGGCCCTCAGGGACGTGCGGAAATTCAAGGAGACCAAGAAACAGTTTGACAAAGTTCGGGAGGACATGGAGCTGTCCCTCGTGAGGAATGCCCAGGCCCCACGGCACCGGCCCCACGAGGTGGAGGAGGCCACAGGTGCCTTGACCCTCACCCGGAAGTGTTTCCGTCACCTGGCACTAGACTATGTGCTCCAGGTCAGCGGCTGGGCACAGAGCAGTTGTGGCCTGGAAGGGGGTGGAGGCCGCTCTGTATTCCGACAGACAGACAGACAGACAGAGCTGTTGCTCGGAGGGGCCCCTCTGCCTCCAGAAAACCCGAGATGCCGGATCTTGGGAACGGACAGGGTGGCGGGGTGCCCAGGCAAGGGTGGGCCGGGGACAGAGGTGGGGCTGAGGCCTTGAAGATCTTGCGGAGGGGGCCTTGGAAGGCCTGGGAGCAGGTCTGAGAATTTCTGGCTTTGCCCGTGGGAGGAACCCACGGTCCTGACGTGGGGAGGGACTCCTTGACCACGGGAGGGTGAGGCTGGCACAAGTGCAGGGGGCTGAAGATGAGCTGGGGGTCTCGGGGAACCACAAGCAAGCCTGAGAGGACTCTGCGGTAAGGGACAGTCCATGGGCTGCCTCGTCCCTGACACCCTTCACCCGTTCACCCCTCCCTTGGCAGATCAACGTACTCCAGGCCAAGAAGAAGTTTGAGATCTTGGATTCTGTGAGTGACTGGTTGGTAGGGGTGGGGGGGCATTGGCCTTGAGTACAGGCCGTGAGGTACAGGGGATGTGAGTGCACCTGCTGGGCCCCTGGGGGCCTGGTCCCACCTGTGTCCCCCCGCCCCTGCCTACAGATGCTGTCCTTCATGCACGCCCAGCACAGCTTCTTCCAGCAGGGCTATAGCCTGCTGCACCAGCTGGACCCCTACATGAAGAAGCTGGCAGCCGAGGTGAGCCCGCGGGGTGGGGCGAGACCCAAGACCCGGGTCTCAGGAAGAATGTTCATGCCCCTCCCTGGTGCCCCTCCCCCACAGCTAGACCAGCTGGTGATCGACTCGGCAGTGGAAAAGCGTGAGATGGAGCGAAAGCATGCTGCCATCCAGCAGCGGGTGAGGCCCTGCACCCCCTGACCTCCGTGCATGGAAGGGGGACCCCAAGAAGCCAGTACCCCTCTCCCCCAGGCCTGCCCACGCTGCTTCGCTTACAAATGTGTGCTCAGAAGGAGAGGTCTCTGTTTTTTTTTTTTTTTAAATTTTTTTTAACGTTTATTTATTTATTTATTTATTTATTTTTTAAACGTTTATTTATTTTTGGGACAGAGAGAGACAGAGCATGAACGGGGGAGGGGCAGAGAGAGAGGGAGACACAGAATCGGAAACAGGCTCCAGGCTCTGAGCCATCAGCCCAGAGCCCGACGCGGGGCTCGAACTCACGGACCGCGAGATCGTGACCTGGCTGAAGTCGGACGCTTAACCGACTGCGCCACCCAGGCGCCCCATAACGTTTATTTATTTTTGAGAGATAGAGACAGAGCACGAGTGGGGGAGGGGCAGAGAGAGGGAGACACAGAATCCGAGGCAGGCTCCAGGCTCCGAGCTGCCAGCACAGAGCCTAACACAGGGCTTGAACTCGCGAACCCGTGAGATCATGACCTGAGCTGAAGTCGGATACTTAACGACTGAGCCGACTGAGATGCCCACTCTCTCCGGAGAGGTCTCCATTCTTAGGAGCCTCAAACGGCAGAGTAGAAGGGGCATCGGTCACTTAGGGGTCACTTAGAGGCCAGGCCTGGGTGGGCAGGGGAGCCAGCCCATCCGGGTTCCAGATGCTGGGGCTGGGGCTAGAGCGGGGACCCGGGGTTTCCTTCCTTTGAGGCCAGTGGTGGTCTCTGAGGCCTCAGTTGCTGGCTCTTGCCCAGACAGCCCCAGGGTAGAGGTGGGCTGCAGGTAGGAGTGACTGTTCCCGGACCACTGGGAGCCCACTCATCGGCTCTCTCTCCCTCTCTGCACCCCCTCCTGCTCCTGGCCCCCGCAGACGCTGCTGCAGGTGAGTGGGAGTGCCCTGGGGGAGGGAATGGGGGGGAGCAGTTGAGCAGGCAGGGCGGGGCCCCTGCCCTCCCCCACCCCGCAGAGCTTCAGCACCAAGGACACCTCACTTTGCCGCGAGCATGCGGCGGCGGCTGGCACCAGCGGGGACTTGGGCTGAGCTGGACTGCATCCCCCGCGGGAACAGCAGCAGCTGTCCCTTTCTGCCCCCACTCAGCCAGGGGAGCAGGTGGCCGGGCCTCCTCTCCTGCCGCCGGACACACAGGACAACGCCCAGTGTCTCCTCAGTCTCTGTGAATGGAGCTCTCTGTCAGGCTGGCTGGAGCAGGCCCAGCTGGCAACATGAATGGGGGACTCAGGATGGGGGCAGGAAGCTTCCTTCCTGATCCCAGAGCCTGCTGGCCCCACAAGGCTGGGGGTGTGGGCTGGGGCCCTCAGCTGTAGTGTGAGGCGTCTGCCCTCAGTGGGGTTTCAGGGTGAAGGTCCGTGCTGGGGTCAGAGGAGTGCCCCACCTCAGCATTGGCTCTGGAGGAACCTGGCAGGGCAGCAGTGTCCTCGCAGCCAGGCCGGGCACTCACTGGGGGCTGGGCTCCAACCACCCCCAGGACTTCTCCTACGATGAGCCCAAAGTGGAGTTTGATGTGGATGCGCCCAGCGGTGTGGTGATGGAGGGCTACCTCTTCAAGAGGGCCAGTAATGCCTTCAAGACGTGGAACCGGTGAGGGAGGGGCCTGCTCAGGGGGTCTGCGGGGTTAGACAGGGGACTGGCCCTGCCTGACCCCCTCCTGGCCCATCCACCTGCCCAGGCGCTGGTTCTCCATCCAGAACAGCCAGCTGGTCTACCAGAAGAAACTCAAGGTGCGCTTCAGGGCTGCTGGGGCTGGGTCAGTGACAGCCGGGCCCCTCCCCGCCTGGACCCCGGGGCGGGCTGGGCGGCGGGGGTTGCACAGGGTTGAGGACACTGAGCCTGAATGGGCCGCCCGAGGGCAGAGACCACCTGGGTCTCAGATGGTCTGTGTCTCTAAAATGGAACGATAAATGGGTGGTCAGTGCAGGGCCAGGCCTGCGTGCTGAGCGCAAGGGCCCCGGTGGTGCTGCCCGCAGGACGTGCTCACCGTGGTGGTGGATGACCTCCGTCTGTGCTCCGTGAAGCCATGTGAGGACATCGAACGGAGGTTCTGTTTTGAGGTCGTGTCACCCACCAAGTGAGGAGGCCCAACCGGGGGCGGGGTGGGGGAGGGAGCCCTTCTGCCCGCCCGGCCTGATGGTCCCCTTCCCCTAGGAGCTGCATGCTGCAGGCCGACTCAGAGAAGCTGCGGCAGGCCTGGGTTCAAGCTGTGCAGGCCAGCATCGCCTCTGCCTACCGGGAGAGCCCGGACAGCTGCTACAGTGAGGTGCGGCCCTCTCGGGACCCTCCACGTGTGTGCACACGTGCCTGCGTGCTGCAGAGAGGCAGCCCCTGCAGGCTGCATGCAAGTGTGCATGTGAGTGTGAGCACGTGCTCATGCACACGTAGGTGTGCGCGTCGTGTGTACGTGCATGTGAGTATGCGTGCACACACGGACACGCAGGCTTACGCTTCAGGCGTCCTAGCCTGTGCCGGCATCTCTGGGTGGGGGGGGAGAGGGGGCCCACCGGGGTGATCGAGGCTGGAACTCCTGAAGGCTGAGTGGCCCCTCACACCATCCCCAGAGGCTGGACCGCACGGCGTCTCCGTCCACGAGCAGCATCGACTCTGCTACGGACTCGCGGGAGCGCAGCGTCAAGGGCGAGAGCGTGCTGCAGCGTGTGCAGAACGTGGCTGGCAATAGCCAGTGTGGGGACTGTGGCCAGCCGGATCCCCGCTGGGCCAGCATCAACCTGGGGGTGCTGCTCTGCATCGAGTGCTCCGGCATCCACAGGTGCGCCCACTGGGTGGGCTGGGGCTGAGGTGCTGGGGTAGAGCCACGCCCTGACTCACCCCTGCCTCCTCACCTCCCAGGAGCCTGGGCGTCCACTGCTCCAAGGTGCGGTCCCTGACCCTGGACTCATGGGAGCCAGAGCTGCTGAAGGTATGTATGGAGGCCACCTCAGACCGTTGGCAGGGGGTGGTGGCTGCAGGAGCCGGGTCTGCAAGCCTGGGGGTGGGGGTGAGAAGGAGGGGCATGACCTGGGGCTGATGCTGCACACCCCTTCTCCTGCTAGCTGATGTGTGAGCTTGGAAACAGCACCGTGAACCAGATCTACGAGGCTCAGTGTGAGGGGCCAGGTGGCAGGAAGCCCACAGCCAGCAGCCCTAGGTGAGGTTGGGGGGGGGGCAGCCTAGACGGGGCCAGGGCAGCCCCCACCCACGCGGTGCAGCCTCACGGCCATCCCTGGTGCAGGCAGGACAAGGAGGCCTGGATCAAGGACAAGTATGTGGAAAAGAAGTTCCTGCGGAAGCCACCGTCGGCACCAGCCCGGGACGTCCCCCGGCCCTGGAGGGCGCAAAAGTGCCAGCGCCACCACAGCTCCCCCCGGGTCCCTGCTGCCCGCCGCAAGGTCCGGCTGGAGCCCATCCTGCCCTCTGTGGCTGCTCTGTCCTCAGGTGCCAGCAGGCTACTCCCTTAGCTCACGTGCCCACGCGGAGTTGGGGACGGGCTCCAGCAGGGAGGAGGAGGGAGGCAGGGACTACCAGCATGACTTGGGCACCCTACCTCGCCTTGGGTCTCAGTCTCCCCACCTCCCCGCAGCAGGTGCTGTGGAGCGCAAGTTCCGGAGGGACTCTCTCTTCTGCCCGGATGAGCTGGACTCCCTCTTCTCCTACTTCGATGCTGGAGCTGCTGCAGCCGGTCCACGGAGTAAGTGCCGTGAGGGCCCTGGCCCCTGTCACCCGACTCCCCTCAGTGAGGCCAGCAGAGCAGGGCCAGGCATGCTCATCTTGAGGTGGATGAGTGTGGACAGCCTTAGCCATGTGCTCGGAGACCAGAGGGACAGGCGTTTTTTGCAGGAAGGACTGGGCTGGGGCTGGGGAGAATTTAGGGGTCAAGCAGGGATAAGGTTGAGATAGCATCTCAAGGGTCTGGGGTTACTTGGCCACTGACTTGGAGACCGAGGTCCTGATCCTCGAAGAGTGATGTGTATGAATTGTGTGCGCGGTGCGCACATTGGAGTGTATGTGGGCGTGTGGCTGGATGTGCGCATAGGCATATAGGTACGTGTGTGTGTGCGCGCGTGCATGTGCATGCTGGGGGCCTGGACAGCTGTGTGCTGGAGCCAGCCCGTGAGAGAACTGTGCACCCTTCCCAGCCCCTCTTGGAGTTGGGGGCCACATGCTACAAGCAGGGTTTCCCGCCAAGGGCTTCCTGTTAACGATTTACCAGCACCCAGTGGTCTGGAGCACTTGTAGAGCCTTTCTGGGCAGTGTAGGCAGAAGGCGTGGACCCAGACCAAGAACAGACAGGGGTGCTGGGGGTGACAAGGGCGTGCCCTCAGGCGGCAGAGGGCGCTGCCTCACCATTCCTAAGCCTGGGGCTGCCCTTGGGTAAGCCAGCTGAGATTTCACTCAGCATAGTTGGGGAGGGGGAGAGGAGGTGGGGGTGTCCCAGGGCTTGGCAAAGACCCCTTGCTGCACAGTGACCTCCCAGGGTGCACTCAGCACAGACAGGGCTGAATATCCTCTGTGCGTGGTCATGCTTCCGCCCATCCATCCTGCCAGGGCTGACCTGCTGGGGGGTGGGGGGTGGCTTCCCCTGGAGTTGTGCTCTCTGATGCGTTACTTTGGCTCCTTTGAGCCCTTCCTTGGTTTTCTCCCCTCCCCACCCCACCCCCCATCCTAGGCAGGGCTCCCCTCCC